GCTGACTGCCCCAGGAATGGGGGCCCCCTTCCAGAACCTTCTTCCTAAACCCACTCAGAGCTTTGACTTCGGATCAGCCAGCTACAGAGCAAAGGAAAGGCCGCAGGAGGGGGGGGGGGATGGAGGGGGGGGAGCTGGGTGCCAGCTGGCACAGGTGCGCCAGGTGCAGCACGGGGGGGGGGGGACGCTGGGAGGAGGGCAGGGAGGGAGGGATGCGTGTGTGCGTGGGGGGGGGGGTTCTGAGGTGGGGGGGGCGTCCCTTACGGTCTCCCTCAGCTTCCGCTCCTGGTCCAGCTCGCGCTGCAGGCTGCCCGCGCGCTCCTCGGCGGCGTCCGCCTGCTCCTGCAGACTCCGGATCTTCCTCCTCACCGCCTCCAGCGAGCTGCTCCCCGCCATGGCGAGGGCGGCGGGAAGAGAGCCGGGCTGCTACACCCCAAGCGACCGCCAAGGACTGGTGTGGTCCCAGCCCAACCCAGTCCGGCCAGGCCCCGCCCAAGACGGCGGCGGCGCCGCCGCGGCAGCCCCTGAAGCAGCCCGGAAGTCACGGCCGCGGGGCGGGAGGGAGGGGGATGGCGCCGACGAACCGCGGGCGGGAGCGCGAGCGCGGGGGGCGGGGCCAAGCCGGCGGGAGGGGCGGGGCCCGGCGGACCCTCGAAGTTAGCAGGCTGGCGACGCAGTGCGCATGCTACGCGCTGCGGAGAGGGCGCGCGCGTCCCCCGCCCCCCCCTCCTCCTTCCCCTCCTAGGTGCGAGGAAGGAGCTGGGGGGCGACTGGCTTAGTTTGGGAGCCGGTCTCCCGCGCTCCGGTGGCCTCGGGTCATGCATCTGGCTGTTTAAAGGCGATGGCGACTCCTGCTGGCCTCAGGGACGCTCGATTTCCCACGCCCAGAATGGAGGGGCTTTGCGGCCTGGAAGAGCCCTAAGGGAAGCTGCTCCTTTGCTGTTAAGAACCCCAGCACACCAAGATCCTAAGTACAGCAACCCCCCCCCAAAAAAAACCCCGTCTCCCCCTTATCTTAGGCAGTGAAAAACACTCATATACAAAGCATTAGCACTCTTGTTCTAAAGGCAGGCTGAGATCCTGATGGCTGCGTGACTTAGGGCACAATAATTTGACTTCTCTGGGCTTCACCTGTCAAAGTGATGGTAATTAATATAGGTATTTACAGGGCTTTTAACAGAGAATCACGTAATAATATAAAGCACTTTTTACAAAGTCTTGTGTACAGTCAAGATCTCAAGTGATACCTATAATTAATACATGGATACTGGTTTAAGAGTTGGCCTGGGACCCATAAACAGTTTTACAATCCCGGGCCACCCAAACATCCCTTCCCTGGGTTAGGACCAGCCTGTGATCTTTCCAGGAATCCCACAGATCTGAGCTGTTCTGGGATGCCTTTTTAAAAGGTTCCCGAAAAAGGGCACAAAGCCCTACGAGAGAAAAAAAATATGGCTCCCAAACAATCAGTGGGAACCTTACTTTGGCTGATTCCCTCCCTGGATATTGTGTTTTAAAATGCCCTTCCACATTTTCAAGGAAATTTCTTTTTCACCTCCCCTCCCCTTGATTCAAAATAAAACAAACACAACGGCTAAACTCCTTTCTCCAAAGCTTCAAAAACAAGTCTTAGCTTTTCAGACTTTGAGTTCCTCACTGCTGAGACACGCCAGTAAGAGCTCTCACATCCAGTAGGGGGAGCCTCTAGCTTTGGTTCTAGGCAGTTGGTCTGGTCCTGCCTGGCCTGAGCCCAAAACTACTGGACTTCCAACACTGGAGAGTTAGTTGGTAGTTGGTAACCTCTAGAGACAATCAAGGAAGCTAGCTGCTGGCCACTTGCAAAATACTCTAAGCAACCAACGAGTGACTTAATGTCCTGCTTTTCAAACACCCGAGGATGGCAGTTTCAGATGAGTTCATTTTCAAGCTGATGTCATTAGAGAAGAGTTTAGGACAGGTGTTTTCAGGCTTGACAGGCAGGTTGGACTCATCCGAGTATTTAAAATATACTGCCACCTGGGTTCCACCCCACAGAGATTACAATTTAACTGGCCTGGGCTGCAACCTGAGTTTTAAAACCTCCCTAGTAGATTATGGTTTTATTTTGTGCCCATATTGGGGCTTGAACTTAGGGTCTTGAATTCTTGTTTGGTTGGCTATTTCACTCAAAGTCAGCACTTTACCACTTGAGTCACACATCTCCACTTCTTGATTTTTTGCTAGTTAATTGGAGACAAGAGTGTCCAGGCTGGGGCTGGGAAGGTGGCTCAGTGGTAGAGTGCTTGCCTTGCATGCCAGGGGCCTTGGGTTCGATTCCTCAGCACCACATAAACAAAAAGAAATGGTGCTGTGGCTCAAGTGGTAGAGCGCTAACCTTGAGCTGAAGAACTGAGGGACAGCGCCCAGGCCCAGAGTTCAGGCCCCACAACCGGACCAAAAAAAAAAAAAAGAGTGTCCAGGCTGGTTCAAACCAAACTGGGATCCTCAGATCTCAGCTGTCTAAGCAGCTAGGGTTAAGCTTGGTTTTTATGTTTTGATAAGGTTGAGAATCACTAACTTGGGAGGTACAGAAGCTAAAGACTGACATAATTATCAGATACAACACCATTCTTGGGTAAATGAGTCAAATAATATGTCTTATATAACATTTGTAACATATAGTCTATAGAAATTACCTAAGACAACTTTCCATATAAATCTTATGTATATCTTCCATATAAGACATATATACACAATCACTCACACACATACATAAAAGCTACTTCTTGCATGATAACCTTTTAAGCTAGGGGAAAAAAAATTCTGGCATAGGATTTATAAAGTATTCTGATAAACCAGAAAAAAAAATGGTGGTAATAGTCATAATGGAAAACTGGAGGGCTGTAGAATACCTGCTTGCCTAGCATGCATGAAGCCCAGGGTTCAATTCCTCAGTACCACATACACAGAAAAAACAGGAAGTGGTGCTGTGGCTCAAGTAGTAGAGCTCTAGCCTTGAGCTGAAGAGCTCAGGGACAGCGCCCAGGCCCAGAGTTCAAGCCCTAGGATGGACAAAAAAAGAAAAGAAAATTGGAGAGTACCTATCTCACCCCAACACCCTAGAGGAAGCTGACTTCTCTCCTACCTCTCCTTTTCTCTTGTGACATCTGTGTTCCTCCTTATATGGAAACTTTTAAATTAATTTAGGGCTCACTGTAAAAAAGAACATTTCTTTGCAAACTTCAACATCTTTACAATCTTCAAACAACCTAAAATGTCTTCAAGGGGAAGAAGAACATACTAACCAAAAGACACAGACACACACTCTCTCTCAGATGCACCATATATAGGGACAGTTTTTTCCACTGGATAAAAGGCACCAAAATGGGATTCAAGCTCCTCCCTCCTTTGCTGGCTCCACCCCCACAGCTGACTTTAAACAGCCCCTTTCCAGTTCTAACCCCCTCCTCAACTCTATGGCCCTTGCTTTAATGAAGACTTTTCAATAATGATAACACTGCATAGTTACAATTATTTTCCCCAGTCCCAAAAGGAATAGTAGTGTTTTTTCCCTCTTGCCAGCCTTCACGCTTACAGAGCTCTTCTCAAATTCTCTGCATTCTTTTCCTTATAAGGAATATCTCCCCATGATCTATGAGCGGTTCTTTTGAAAAAGCTAAATAAACGTCTAGCTGGAGAATTTGGGGGAGAAGGGCACCCAGCCTCCCATGTATCAGACATCTGATTCACATTATACAAAGTGGACTCAGAGTTGTAAGTGGTTTGCTCTTTTTCCAAAGCCAAGTAGTTTACAATGCAAATATTTTAGCTACAGTAGTACTTGACCAAGCTCCCTTTCCAGGAAATCTTGATTTTCACTGCAAATTTATTTTTTTTCTTCAGATTCCAAGTAACCTTTATCTGGATCTCTCATTTACAGAACACACTGGCCCATTCCCTATCTTCCTTTCACACTACCAAATAGCCTGTACAAATTTCAAAACCTAAGAAAGATCCTTTAGTGATCTGCATTTTACTCTTGTAAAAAAAAAAAATTCTGCAATTGTACCTAAGGGTGGGTGTTCAACTTCTGGTCATAATTTTCCTAGTGCTCATACATTCTTGAAATTGTTATCAACTTCCTAAGGAATTCTTTTCTAATTGGGCTTTTAGGCTTAATTAGCTTCTAGAATGGAATTCCACAGTGTGAAAAGAAGTCAACTCCTCTGGAAATCTAATCCTTGGCTTGACTTGCAGAAAGAGGCCTAGTGCTATAGTTCCTATCTCAAAGGGCAAGGAAGAAAAATGCTAATGGAACTCTAGGCCCAGAAAGTATGTGGTGGTTGTCAGAGGACTGACAGGTGGGAGGTGGAGCGGGCAGGAGGGGCAGGGGGCAGCTAGCGAGCTCACTATACCATATAAAGCACTGAGCTATATATAACTCCCTGCTTACTTTCTGGACCCAGTGCTCACAGACTGCAGACCCAAGCAAGTATCATCTTCCCAGGCAGATCTTAAGAGCAATGGCTTCACTGTTAAGTTTAGACATACAAGAAAGTACCCCTAAGTTTAGAAGCCTCAGGACTCTGACTTGATCCACTACCCCAAATCAGACTTAACCTACCCCACTGGGGGTAGCAAAAGGAAAAGAGAAAAAGAAGTAAAACCCTGTTGCACAAATCTTGAGGTCAGGACCCCTCAGGGATTTCCCACAATGTCAATGTCACCAATTTATTTTCTCCAGACTTCTCACCCCACCCACCTCCAAAACCCAGGGAGAGGGAGTCAAGAAGAGAAGAAGAGAAAAAGGAATGGATGAAGTATAAATGATCGTAAGCTACAGCAGTGAGAGGCGGCATTCAGTGCTCTGGGCCAGGGCCAGGCTGTGTTGCAGGTGTCCAGCGACCCTCTGAAGGGTCCGCAATCTCCCTCTGGGGCCTCTTGCTTTAGTGACTCCCTAGCAATGGCCACTTGCTGCTCAGGAAGGTGAGGGGAGGCAATTTGAGCGGTGGTGCACTTACATCAGTGGCTTTTTTCTCTGCCAGCTCCAGTTTCTCCTGGGCATCTTTGAGAGCCTCGGAGTATTTATCCAGTTCATCTTCAGTGCCCTTGAGTTTCTTTTGCAACGAGACCAGCTCATCTTCCAGCTGGGAGTTTGGCCGTGGGGTACGGGGTGGATGGAGTGGGGGGGGGGGGAGTGGGGGGGGTGGAGGGAGGTGCAGCAGGCAGCGTGATCCCGCCGGGGCGCGGGGAGGAGAGGGTGTGGGGTAGACAGATGATAAGGACAGAGACAGAGGGAGAGAAAGAGAGAGAAAGGGGAAGACAGGGAGGGGGAGAGAGAGAAGAGAGAACAAGAGTTAGCCATTCTTGGGCCGGGCCTGGCCGCGCGCCCCGGGTACCTTGGCGGCGGCCTCATCGGCGGCCAGCAGGCTGTCCTCAGCCTTGTGAAGCTCCTCCAGCACCCGGTCCCGCTCGTCCTCGGACGCGCGCAACAGCTTCTCTTTGGCCGCGATGTCCTCCTCCAGCTTGGGGGTGGCGATGCGGGGTGAGGTGGGGTGGGGGTGAGGGGGGGGGCCAGGGGCGAGCCCGCACGGACCGAGGGACACACACACACACACACACACACACGCGCGCAATACAACACCACGGGCACCAGGTTGGCTGGGGCCTTCGGATTGGGGGCGCCTTCTGAGTTAGGGGTTCCAGGGGTGCCCATGGAATGTTGATGGTATTCTTATTTTTCCCCTCCTCGCGTGCGCGCGCGCACACGCACACCTGGCCCAGGACGGGATTCCTGCGGTGGTCTGTCTCTCCAGAGTCTCGGGGTCACATCCCACAGCTGGGGGATGTGTGGGGGTGAAGGGGGGGCGCGCAGAGACGCTCCCCTGTATTTGGCCTGGCTTTCCAATCGTATCCATCTTTGTTCTTAGGAAACAACTCCAAGGCGCTTCCCAACCTCCAGCATATACCCCCCTCCCCCGCCCCCCGTCTGTCTGTCTGTCTGTCTGTCTGTCTCTTTCTTCTCCTTAAAAATCTCCATCCCTAGAGAAAAGTCCAAAGTCGTAAACTTTCAGGACTTAATCCATTCCTCCTCCCCCCACCCCCCACCCCCACCCCGCCTCGGTCCCCTTTTCGGGTTCTACCCTGTTGTTTTTTTTTTCTTCAAATGTCCCTGGGAATCGGTGACCTTCCTCACTCTCCCCCCCTCTCCCCTCGCCACCCTTTCCCCCCCCCCCCCAAGTCGGGCCAATCAAGAACTTTAAAACGGACTTGGCGGGCTGAAAGACCTCAAACCAAACTTTCCTTTCGGTAAAGTTACCGTGAGCCTCCGCCGCCGCTTTCCTCCCCTCTCCCCAACCCCCCCCCCCCACGCGCGATCCCCTCGCCCTGGGTATAAGGGCGGAGGGGGGGGGTGACTCTTGAGGTTTGGGGGGGGGGGTTGGAGAGAAGGAAGGGGTACCAGGGGGCTGGGATCTTGGTGTTGGGGAAGCAGCGGGGAGAAGGGGAAGGCCATCCCGGGCCAGCCCATCGGGGCGCCAGCCGGCGATGGGGCGGACGCAGAGCCGGGGTGGGGATGGGGTGCTGGGGATGGGGTGCTGGGGATGGGGAGGGGGGGCGCAGACCTGTTTACTGCGGTCTTCCGCCGCCTTCTTGTCGGCTTCGGCCTGCTCGGCTCGATCCAAGGCGTTCTCCTTGTCGAGCTTCAGCATCTGCATCTTCTTCTTGATGGCGTCCATGGTGGCGGTGGCGAGGGGCCCGGAGGGCTGCCGGCGGTGGCGGAGAGGGGTGGACGAGGAGCGCGCTGGGGCGGCCGAGCCGGAGTGCGGGCGCACCGACGCCCGCTGCTACCAGATATGTACTTTTCCCGAGGGGGGCGAGAGCGCATTCCACCGACAGCCAATACTTTTTTGGAAAAGCTTTTCCCTCCCCCCCTTCCCTCCCCCCTCCCCCCCTCCCCTCTCCTGCCTCCGCCCCGTGCCCGCTCCCCCTGCTCCTCCCGCGGGGGGCCTCGCGCCCATTCGCTGCCGCTGGCCGGTGGATGTGACTATATATGGGGACCCGAACCGCCCAGGCGGCCGCCCTGGATGAGGCCATCCCATTTCCAAACCCGTGCGCCAAACCCAGGCCCGGCCTAGCCTGGAACCCAGCCCGGGGCCCGGGGTTAGGGGGCGGCCTCTGCCCTTTTGAGCTCCCCCTCCACCACCACCACCCCCTACTTCTCCCCCAGGAGCTCGGAGTTGAGCCCTGAGGGTCTCCAGAGGAGCCTGACCCTCTCCCCCCCCCCCCCATCGTGGGGAGCCGGGAATAGATGGTGGGTCAAATCCTGACACACCTCCACCCCCACCTTTTTGCGCCCCGCATCCAGCTGCACCCCCCAATGGCAGCTCTGGGCCCTCCAGTTGTCTGTCACCCAGGGCGCTTGGTCTGGAAGCTAAGAAGAAGCAGTGAAAGGAAGATGGGGGAGGGGGCAGGGAGGGGGCGGGAGGAGGGGGGAGGGGGAGGGAGACCTGGGGGTCGTTCCTGAGACTTCCTACTTTCTGCAATGACAGCAAGTGGAGAGCCCTCCATCCCTCCAAATACCCTAGGGATATGGGATCTAGTTGTTGTTGTTGGTGGTGGTGGTGGTATGTGTTGTGTGTGTGTTACTTTTCCAGAGTTGCCAGGTGTGTATGTGTTGTACAGATACGTAGGACCAGTTTTCTTGGAGGGGTGGGGGGTTGGGGGGTAATATCAGTACTGGGGCTTGAACTTAGGGTCTCAGTGTTCTCCCTTGGCTTTTTCCACTGATGGCTGGTGCTCTACCACATGAGCCACACCTCTACCTCTGGCTTCTTTCTAGTTAATTGGGGACTTTTCTGCCCCTTCAGATTGAGAGCCTAGATCTCAGCCTCCTGAGTATCTTGGAATACAGGCCTGAGTCACCAGCCCCCAGGTGGTCTGGATTTTTAAGGGGAAAGAATGTTGTGTTTATAGATTCAGGCAACTTGGAGTTTGGTCTCTGTGACCACCAGTTCTGTTACCTTGCCTAGTAGCAGCTTCCTGCTTGCTGTTAAACCTGGGAGGTAGATGATGCTGGGAGTCCATCCAGAGCTAACCTTTCCTCATTTTCCTTGCACTGATTTTTACGAAGTCAGCTTCTCTTGTGTTAGTCACTGAGGTGCCAGGTTGCCAAAATCATAGGAGAAACATCCTAGCTAGGGCACAGTAGCTAAAGCCAGAACTCTAGGGAGAGAAGAGAGCTAATTTGCCAGGCAGCCAGTGGCTCATGCCTGTAATCCTAGCTACTCAGGAGGATGAGATCTGCAGATCAGGGTTCAAAGCCAGCCTAGGCAGGAAAGTCTGTGAGACTCTTATTCCAGTAAACTATCAGAAAACCAGAAGTGGCACTGTGACTTAAGTGGTAGAGCGCTTGCCTTGAGCTGAAGAACTTAGGGACAGTGCCCAGGCCCAGAGTTCAAGCCCCATGACCTACAAAAGGAAAAAAAAAAAAAAAGAGCTAATTTTGCACTGTGAGCAGTGCTGAAAGGGATGGGGTTTCTACCCCTTCCCTGTGTCTCCTAAACTCCCTTCCTCCCAGCCCCCCAGGAGGAGAAGCTTGCCCTTTTCAGAGCACCAATGAGAGTAGAGGAGAGGGGGATTTCCCCAGTTCCTGCCTGATATCAGCTAAGACAGAATGGGGGGAGGAGGGAGGAAGGGTCTTGTTAGAAGTCCCTAAAGGATAATTCACAGCCTGTATTACACGGATACCCAATATTCCCAGGATGGTATCTGAGCAGATTAGGCCAGCCAAACAACTTGTAAGTTCTTCAGAGAATGATCAAGTTCCCCTAGTAGGATTTTATCAAGTTTCTTCCACCAACCTGACTGCCCAGGAGGGAAAAAAATACACTGACCTCATGGTCAGACCATTAGGTCTCTGTGCACGGCACGTGTCAACTCACCCACTGGAACAGCCACACATTTCCAGGCCTGTGGGTAACATATAGATCTGTGAACTACATAGTAAGCTCAGGGTTTAGTTAAGACTCCAACACTCAAACCTGGCTTGGCCTCTTCCTTGTAATGCCATGGTGGCTAGATCATGCCTCAAGATAAGGCAACTGAAGCCAGGTACCAGTGGCGCATGCCTGTAATCCCAGCTATTCAGGAGGCTGAGGCCTGGAGGGTCTTACTTCAAAGCCAGCTTGGGCAGATCCCAGTTCAAAGGGCAGCCTAAGAGATCCATCTCCAGCAAAATGCCAGGCTGGAGGTATGGCTTCACTAATAGATCACAAGTAAGTAGAGTTAAAGTGAGGCCCTGAATTCAAGTCCTGGTACTGGCAAAATAAAAGAAAAAGCAGAGACCAAAGAATCTAGAAAAACTCCTTGAGGCATCATGTGTGCCTGACTTTTCTCCTCTCACAGTGAAACGGGAAGGCTGGGTCTAGTTGGCACCATCTTGGCCACGTGGTGGATATGGACTTGGATTTAACTGGTGCCATCTTGTCTTTGAGATGCAGGAAGATGAAGTCCCACCTTCCAGGTGATGAGCATGCCTGAATTCTTAGAGGCATGGGCAGGGACTTGGACGATAGGTTACTGGGTCCTGCTTCTCAATGATTTTTCCATGACTGAAGGACAAATTCAAAGACAAAACCAGGAAACTACCATTGTGGCCTCTCAGCAAAGATGAACTGGGCCCCCTCTAGCTTTTCTCAATAGAGTTTAAACTGAGAGACACAGAAAATGTGAATTATTAGCTATGGATGCTACACATGGCAAGACCATGTGTAAGGATAATTACAGTTATTTCAAAATATTTGGACTTTCTCTCCTGTTAGTGTCTTGGTACAATCGTAGATCCCACCCAATTAAGTTGGGGGCAGACATTTAACGGTGAGCAGAATTGACATTTTAAGCGTTAACACATGCAACCAAGTGCCAGTGGCTCATGCCTGTAGTCCTAGCTACTCAGGAGGCTGAGATCTGAGGGTCACAGATCAAAGCCAACCAAAACAGGAAAGACTGTGCCTGTCTCCAATTAACCACCAGAAAACTGAAAGAAGAGCTGTGGCTCAAAGTGGTAGAGCACTAGCCTTGAGCACAGAAGCTCAGAGACAGTGGCCAGGCCCTGAGTTCAAGCCTCATGACCTACTGAAAAAAAAAAAAAGAAAAGAAAAAAAAAGAAATAAGGAGCACATACCTGCTCAAATTCACTTTTTAAGATAGTAGTTCTTCTATCAACATGAGTTACCAAGTGGCTCTTCCTCTCCTCCTCTCAACTAACTCTTGGTGGTCATGTAATAAAAGCAGGATATAGACCCCTGCTAATTTTAGAGCACTGAGATCTGGGGGCTGTTTGTCATGGAAGCATAACTATCGGTCATTTCAGTCACAAAATGAGAAGCAGAGGATTTTGGTCATAGAAATAGGAGAATGGAGTAGATCTATCAATATATACAAAAGGACCATTCATAGATGGACTGGAGGAATCGGACTAAATTTTAGTTCCAAGAGTCCTAACACCCCTTTTATTTTCCTGGGGTGACAGGAGCAAGTCTGTGTTCCTTGAGAGCAAAAAACACTGAACAAATCATGTGGACACTGAAAACATGCTAGGAATTTCCAGACTTCTCTAGCACTTAGTTTTCAGTCATTTCTCAGTAAATGTTTTGTTGTTTTAAATGGATTCTTAGCCATTACCATAAGTGTAAAAGTAATTATCTGGGAAGGGAAGGAAACAAAACTATGTTCAAAAGACTGTGTTTCTATTCAGAATATGGCTTCTCCTTTGTCTTCTGAAGAATAAACATCAGTGATTTGACCAGGCAAGACAAATGTCTCACAAATAATTATTGGACGTCTTTGTGTGCAAGACATTGTAGCGTTTATAAAGTCAAGGGAAAGAGGAGATCTATTAGTCAGTTCTACATCACTGTGTCAAAATGCCTGAGATAATCAACTTATAAGGAGTAGAAAGTTTATTTTGGCTCACAGTTGTGGAGGTTTCTGTCTGTGTTTGTTTGGACTGTTACTTTGGACCCGTGATTAGGTAGCATATCATGGTGGGAATGTGAGATAGAGGAAGACTCTTCACCTCATGGCAGCCAGGAAATAAAAGGAGTGACAGGAAGAGACCTAGGTCCTAGAATTCCCTTTCAAGGGCACATCCCCAATGGCCTAACTTCCTTTCACTAGGCCCGCCCCCCCCCCCCCCCCCCGCCAAAAAAAAAAGCACTACAAATTCAACAGCAATCCTTTAAGACAAAGCCTATAGGAAACATTCATGATCCAAACAATGGAGAAGAAATGAATTTTTTCTTCTAGGAAAATCACCTGTGCCTAATGTTGGGGGATACCCTCTCTTTGGGAGTCATTTGTTGTGTATTTCTAATCACATTATCTTTGTTCCAGCAGTCTTCCTGGGCCTCCTAGTTGTAACAATCACATAGCTCAGATTTGCTTTGCTTTGCTTTTCCTCCCCTCCCATTCCCTCCCTCCCCTCCCCCTTCCCTCCTTTCCCCTCCTCTCCTCTCTCCCCTTCTCTCTTCCTCCCTTCCTCCTTCCTTCCTTCCTTCCTTCCTTCCTTCCTTCCTTCCTTCCTTCCTTCCTTCCTTCCTTCCTTCCTTCCTCCTTCCCTCCTTCCCTCCTTCCTCCTTTCCTTCCTCCCTTCCTCCTTCCCTCCGTCCTTCCTTACTTCCATCAGTATCTTGCAATATTACCCACGCCAGCCTTGAACTCACTATATACCCCAGGCTGCTTTTGAACTTCCAACACTCCTACCTCAGGCTCCTGAGCACTGGGATTTAAGATGTGTGCCACCATACAGGACTACCTCAGTTTTTTTGTTTTGGTTTAGGAGAG